TTTTTGATTTGTCATGCATATCATAAAAAATAATTTATGTATTCTCGACCCTTAATTTAAACCAAATAAAAAATATAAATAACTAGTAAAAAAAAAACTCTATTATATTTTTATATATCATATGAAGCTAATAAGTAAATATAGCAAATAACTTATTTAAAAAAAAAACTAAATTTATAAAATAATTATATTTAATTTAAAGTATATTAGAATAGTATATCACAGGTAACAAGATAGGCATAGAATATTAATTAATCTTGCCTTAAAATATTGAAATTGTGTATTGCTAAATATTCAAACAATTACTATCTTTAATTTAAATCAAAGATACTATTTATTTGTTTTCAGATTTTCAATTGATTCTTTTAGATCCTTAAGATCTTTAAGAGTGGGCAGATTTTTAATAATTTTTCCAAGTTCTTTGAATTTCTCCTCAATTATTTGTTCCGGAGAAGGTTGTTCTTCAGGGAGTCGAAGAATTTCTTTAAGCGCCTTTGACATGTAAGGCTCTCTATAACCTGACCATTCACCATTTTGGATGTTTCTTATATGTGCACGAAGTTCAACTGTATGGCATACATAGAAACTTTAAATAAAATAATAAAAATATAAGTAACAAGAATAAGGTTCCGTTTTGCATGTGATTAATAGAGTTCCATTTTGCATGTGATTAATAGAGTTCCAATCTGGATAAGTCCGTCATCGTTTGTCAATATCTGAATTATCCGTTGGATGAACAGATCAGACATCCGGATAATCCGATAGATAATTGGATAATTATCGGATATCAATAATAAACGGATATCTTTTATCCATCATCAGTACCCAATCTAAATTTCATCCGGATATCTGATAATTATTATTATCCGGATAAATACTAACCGGATTGGAGCTCTAGCGATTAACTTACATAACAAATGGAAACCAATTTTCTTTTCTTCGTTGATGAGGTAACATATAAAGTAACTCTATTTCTATAATAATCTAAATAACATAAATGAGTTATTGATTCAAAAGTACTTTAATTGAAATAATCATTAAAGAAATACCTCTCTTTTTAAATCCAGATAAGCAATCTCATTATTTTCATTACTAACTAAATTACTAATAATTCCAATAAATAAATTCATCAAATAAATGAGCATAAAAAATGAACCTATAATCATTAAAATCATTATCACGATATTTTCATTCGAAATCCATAATGAAATAGGAGTCGAATCTCCTAATAAAATAAAATTTTCAATAATATTGTATTAATAATGATAATACAGTATTGATGAACTATATAATATACCTGTAATCATCATATAATAAGACGAAATAATTGCAGAACCAAAATGTGTAAACATGTTAATATTAGAATCTAAACAAGAATAAATAACTTATTAATGCACCGCACATATCTATAGGATAATGAAATTAATAACAAATCAATTTATCGCTCAAATAAAACACCTTGAGATATTTCGGATGCCGATCGTAACAAAAGATGTAATGAGTGTGCAAATGCCAGTGTAATAAGTCCAAAAATTATTAAAAAAGACATTACTCTGTCTACAGTATTCATAATTATAGCAAGGTATATTCCAAAAAATTTTATAGGACGAAAAAAAGTAATAAACTTTATTTCGAGAAATAAAGTTGAAAATGTGATAGCCCAAGTTGAAGCTGAACCATTTATTAACCAATAAATTGAAGTTGAAGTAGGAGAAATTGTAGCAGCAAGATCTATTAAATAGTAAATTGAGTATACGCGTATCTTAATAGATGATCTAATAAAAAAAAACTTACCCAAATAATTCCAACTACTTGATAAATAGTTTATAGGTGAATAAATGAGTAATTGACGAATTTCAATAACTAGATGCCAAGATCCAAGAATAATGACAGTGAATAAGAAGATTTTTTGATAAAACCAGGAAATATTATCAGATAGAGTGGAAACAATAATAAAACTACAAAGAAAAATAGTATAAATTGCCCATATTGCCAAATAATATTTTCTTCCATAAGCATTCCACTTGAATTCGAGTAATGCCTCTCCATTTAAATATCTATAAAATTCTTCATCAACCGTTTCAAGTTTTTTTGAATGTGAAAAAGGACTCCGACTAGGTAACAATAATTCTTTCCAAAAATTGTATTTTTTTGGATAAGTAACGAAGTTTGGTAGAGGAATTAAAAGAATTATTGGACTATGACCATCTTGAAAGTTTAGAAAACTAGTTGGAATATATTTTTTATTTGGTTTAAATTAAGGGTCGAGAATACATAAATTATTTTTTATGATATGCATGACAAATCAAAAA